CACCGTCCTCCAATGAAGGGAACCAGGACTCCTTGGAGACATGGCAGACCCCAGAGTAGCAGTGAGCACACCCAGCACCCAGATCTTGGTTTCTAAACACCGTCCTCCAATGAAGGGAACCAGGACTCCTTGGAGACATGGCAGACCCCAGGGCTGGGGCAGAGAAAGTGCACAATGAGCCTGGAAGATCATCGACACCAGAAAATGACAAGAGCATGCGCGAAGGACACAGGAGCCCCCAATGTCCAGGTTGGGGACAATGTGAACCACAAGATGATAATGACGGCAACAGATCGTGACCTGTAAACTAGACCAAGTCTCTGTGAAATAAGCACCGTACTGGTACCAATGACCGTTGACTAACGTGCGGAGTGGGCACAGGGCTTTCTTAAGGCACCATTTCCAGCCAATAAGTTCAGAGTGATGGCCGCAGGGCACGGCCCTTTGGAAAACACTGTAGTAATAACTTTTGTAGGCAAGAAGCATCAATGGCCATCCATAGAGGCTAGAATTGGGGGCAGGGGTGGGGGGTACTCCAGAACAAGAATGCTACATTGTGTCTAAGTACACCTCCATAAGATCACGAGATAACTATTACTTATAAAGAGAAAAGTGGCTGCCCTGGCCGGTTTAGCTCAGCAGTTGGAGCGTCAGCTTGCAAACCGGAGGGACCCAGGTTTGGTTCCCGCTAAGGGCACGTACCTCCGTTGCAGTTTGTCCCCGGCCCTGAGTGGGGTCGTGTGGGTGGCAGCCAGTCGATGTGTCTCTCGCACATCGATGTTCCTCCCTCTCTCTTCCCCATTCTCTCTCTCCCACTCTATCTGAAGATAAATGCAAACATGTCCGCATGTGAGGATTAAAAAAAAAAGGGAGAGAGAGCGAAGTGGTAACTAAACAGTGGAGAGAACTAGCAGACGGCTCCTTAGGCAAGTGATCAAGTGAGCCTTTCCTGCGACCTCAGGTCAGGCAGCCCTGAGGCGGAGCGATGCTCCCCTGCCCCTCTGCCTGGAGCACCCCTCAGGAGCACCCCTCAGGCCACCTGCCCGCCCGCCCGGGGCCTGCATACAGCCACTGACTGAACACTGCTGGGGAACCGGTGACTCAACATTTCAAAGTCAAGTTCAGACCAACCCCCTTTCAAAACTCAGCTTTTCACACCCTCTGAAATCAATGCGGAACAGCACCGCCCGGCACCTAAGGCACCCGGGGCTGCCAATTAGGGCCGGGGAAGAGTGGGGGAGAGTGGGGGAGAGTGCTCCGCCTTCGCTCCTGTCCCCCAAAGAAAGGCATGCTGTGAGGATCTGCTAGCTCTCCTCTGCTCCGGCTCCGAACCCCCCCGCTGCCCCTCCACCCTCCGCGCTGCCCCTGCACCCTCCGCGCTGCCCCTGCACCCTCCGCGCTGCCCTCAGACCTGCCGCTTCATGGTCTGCGTGGGCCTGGCTCTGACACCTCTCGAAGCCCCCACTTGCCTCTGGGGAATGAGAACGACCACCCCACCTGGTGGAAATGCAGTGGAGACCAGATAAAAGTGGGGGACACATTGTTACCCCATTTCTATGACAGGTCCGGGACAGGCAGATGCACGGACAGGTGCCAGGGTTTGAGGAGGGAGGACTGGAGAGTAACTCCTAATGAATCTGGGGTGGCGATGGTTGCCCAGCCTCCTGGATGTCCGAATGCCACTGTAACCCTGGGACACTTTTACATGGTTAAAGAGGGTGACTTTTATGTTGGGCGGATTTTACCAAGATTTAGTTTTGAATTGGGATACAGGGACACTGGCCAAGGCCCTCCATCTCGCTGAGCCTCAGTTCCCTCATCTGGAAGGTGGGGGCGTTGACTGAATCTCCAACATGGGTGGCCGTGCAAATTATAGCTGCTGGTCCCTAGGAATGGCAGGCAGCATGCCGTCCCGGCGCTCACGGGCTGCCTCCCCTGGACGGCTGGGAGGTGTCCCGCCCCATGCAGAGGGCCAGCTGATCCGGGGCCATCCCAGCCTAGTGCCTGCGCTCGGCAGAAGCTGAGCGAGTCCACTCCCCGCAGGGCCCGGCAGGTTCTGCGGCGAGGCTGGGCCCGGCAGCCTGACTCACAGAAACACATCAGGCCCGATGGGATCCGAGTTTAAACCCTGGCAGCCTGGCCCGAGCAGTCGGTGCCCTGGATTTAATTCTGCAGGTAATTTGAACGATGTTCTCTAATTTCAAACGTCCCTGTTCTTATGAGTGCAAAAGCAGCGCAATTTTTAATTAGTGGGTAAACAGTAAATAATGGATGGTGGTAAGTGGACACCACTGTTAATTAAAAATCCATGGTTGATAAAAATCAATTTGGCCTGTGCGTTTAATTCAGTCTATCGGGTCCCTGTGAAAAGTTGTCCAGCCCGGCCCTCAGCACCATCTGCTTCCGGCCCCATCTCCTTGGTTAAGACTTTTCTAGGGGAGGGAAAAAGAAAGAAAGAGAAGAAAACGAAGACTCCCTCGAACACTGCCGCTGAGAAATGTGATGTATGCATCTGGAGTCGAATTAACGTTGGGTTCGCCACCTTGACATGGGCGCTCATGGTTGACGGTGATGTCATGTGCGCTTGGTATTTCCACAAAGCTCCCCAGCTGTGTGTGAGCGTGTTTAATTGAATTTATTGGGGTGACAGTGGTTAATTCAGTTATGTAGGTTTCAGGTGTACAGTTCTGGAACACATCACCTGTATATTGCATTGTGTGTTCACCACCCCAAGTCGAGTCTCCTCCCACCACCATGTACCCCCCCCCGTGCCCTCCCCCTCCCCCATCCCTTCCCTCCGGTTGTGTTTTATTTTGTGTGCATTTCTGCACACAGCGAGACCGCACCCCCTGACTTAATTAAGTCCTAATTCCTCACAGAAAAACAAGACACACTGAGACCATGACTTGGCACCTGGGGGGAGGGGGGGCAGCTTTGTTTGGACAGAACACGAGTCCTCCAAACGCCGAGTCTGTGGGAACCACGCGGCCCTCTCGGGGCCCATCCAGGGTTCTGCTCGGACACCAAGCTTGCGACCCCACCGGGCCAACACCGATGCCCTTCCCTTGGTCCTGTGCTGCCCTTCGCTCGAATCCAGTCCCCAAATCAACACTTGGGACAGGCTTCGCGACAGGGGGTGCTCCCGCCGACCCGCAGGACGGGAGGCAGGGGCCCGACTCCCGACGGGGAGGAGCCCGCTGCTGACACTGAGGGTCGTGTGTCTGGCTGGGGGGTCTCGCCCATCTTTGTCGCCCACCCAGCAACGTCCTGGCTCCGTGCAAAACTCAGTGTTCTCGAGTTAATACAGAACCACAGGCTCCTCCCAGTCAAGACTCCCCTTGGCATGTACATGGGCCCCGAAAGCGCGTGGGGGGCCCGCAACCCTGCGTCCGTGTGGGGGCGCCACGGCCCTGGCTGCCGGCTGCGCTGTGCACTTCTCCACTTGGCCGATGGAGACCACGGCGCCAGCTGCAGGATGGGCTGGGACACGGCTGCTCCAGCACTCTCCCCTCCCCCCTCTCCCATCACTCATTCATCCATCCATTCAGCAGCTGCCTGGGGAGCACCCCGCATCCCCCCAGTCTGGAGAGCAGCCCTTCCCCCTGCCCACCATGCAGGATGAGCGGCGGTGAGGACGTCAGGACAGTCTGGCGGCCTGGGCTCGAACCCTGGCGTTGTCACGTCCAGGCAGCCTGTGCCCCATGCACGCTGAGCCCGTGCGGCCGGAGGAAGCCAGTGCTGACACTGGTGTCCTAGGACGGCTGCAAAGGTCAGACAGCGTATGCGGACGCACGGAGTCCTTACGCGGGGGTCAGCCGCCACGGGGGTCAGCCGCCGGGGACCCTGAGAGTCTCCAGATGAGACCCTCGACCTCGAAGGATGTGAGGAGCCCACTCTGCCTCACTTTCCTGAGAGGCCACCGGGACCGCGTGCCTGCGAAGGGGCAGTGCGGTCCCCAGCTGTCCCCAGGCCTCCCTGGCCCCGCTGCCTGCCCTGAGCCCGACGGGAGGATGTGAGCGTGGGACGGGGAGGGGGCCTGCTGGACGTCCGCTCGGCCCCAGCCTCCCACCAGGCCTCCTCCCCCGCTGGCCCACATCTGCACCAGGCCCGGGCCCCTCAGCCAGGGGCTCGGGGGGAAGAGGGCCTGGAAAGCCTGGCGTGGGAGCTGGGCCAGCGGCCGAGGCCGCCCCTGAGCACAGCCCCCTGCTGCCATATTTGGCCGCTGCTCACCGCCAGGCGTCCCACACATCCGCCATCTGGGCTGCGTCAGGGCCAGGCCCGGGGTGGACGTGGTGGTTGCTGGCGGGGTCCCTGCAGCTGAGGCCCCGAGCCGTTCCTAGAGGAGGCCGGGTCCCACGCCCGGCCTGGCTGGTCTCCACAAATGAGCACATCCGGGGTCATGCAGGAGGCCCTGCGACCCGGCCCTGCTGCTCACGCCATCCCTCAAAGGCTCGGGGTCCCCCCTGGCCCCGCTGCAGGCCTCGGCGTCAGCCCAGCACCCACCACACACTGACGGAGCATCACCACGTGCTAGGCACTGGCCTGCATCCCAGGGAGGTGGAGAGGGACAGCCCGCGGGCCTGGCTCCGAGGACGGGCGCGGAGCGTGGCGGGGGTGCCCTCACCGGGCAGGGGCAGGGCTGCGCCACGTGGCAGAGGTCAGGCGGGACTGAGCCCTTGGTGGAGGGGTGAAGTCCCGCTGCCCCAGGTCTCAGCAGGCTCTAGGCTGCCAGGACGCGGGCCGGCACAGTAACTTCGGAATCTGGGACCGTCTCTCTCCAGGAGGCTTGGGTTCCGTGGGGGTCACGTCTGGGAATCCAGGAGATGATTCCAGAGGCTGATCCAGGCAATCCATCACTGTCTCGGGGGCCGCAGCTGGCCTGAGGGACAGCTGGGTGCCCTGAGAGGGGCAGAGGTGGGCTTGGGGTGGGAGGGCAGCCGGGGCAGGGGGCGCGCTGGCGAACGCCGGGGTCACTAACCCTGGGTCCGTCTGCTTGGCAGCCCACACGGCAGAGGCAGCCGGGACAGCAGGGGGTGGCCGCCTACACTGGAAAGTTCCCTGCCGGAGGCCCCTGCCCGACAGAGCCCCCGTCACTGCGCTGCTGCCCCCACGGCTCGAGGGACCCTGGATCTCCACTGGGTAAGACTCGGGTCACCGCGACCTCAGGCCCCTGGGCTGGGAGACTGTCCTCTCTGACCCCCAGTATCCACGTCTATAAAACAGGCACAACACATCCAGTCGTCCAAGGGGCTGCTCCCTGCGCACAAGGCTTTTCTCGCCGAGCGAGCCTGGCACCCTGAGGGGCATCGTGCCCCAGCCCCAGCAGCAACGGGGTAAAATCCACACACCAAGCACCTGCTGTACAAATATGCACTGAATGCCTCGGATGCACAAGCACAGAGCTCTAGACCCGTGAACACAAATACGTCGCAAAAACCTGGGGTGGTGCTAAGCTCTGCAGCGAACCAAACAAAAGCGAGGATGTAACAGAGAGTGGCCTGGGAGGGTTTCTGTGCGAGTGGTCAGGGAAGGCTTCTCAGAGGTGGTGACATTCTGCCAAGAGCTGAAAGAAGAGGGGTCAGCCATCCAGAGAGCCGGGGTAAGAGTCAGGCAGAGGGAACAGCTGGAGCAAAGGCCCTGAGGCAGGAAGTGATGGGCAGAGAGGGCCCAGGTGTCCTGCTCACCTAATTCTTTCTTTTTTTTTTTTATCCTCAACCGAGGACATTTTGCTGTTTTTTGTTCAGATAGAGTGGGAGGGAGAGAGAGGAACATCGACGTGAAAGGGACACAGAGTGGCTGCCTGCAACCGAGGTACATGCCCTTAGCGGGAACCGAACCCGGGTCTCTCTGGACCGCAGGCCGACGCTCTAACCACTGAGCCAAACTGGCCAGGGCCTTTCTTTTTTTTATCCTCACCCAAGGACATTTTTCCTTGCATTTATCTTCAGATAGAGCAGGAGGGAGAGAGGGGCAAGAGAGACGGAGAGACATTAATGTGAGAGAGATACATCGACTGGCTGCCACCCACATGACCCCAACCAGGGCTGAGGTACGTGCCCTTAGCGGGAACCGAATCCGGGTCTCTCTGGTCTGCGGGCCGATGCTCCAGCTGCTGAGCCAAGCCGGCCAGGGCTATTTATTTCTTTAACCTCACGGGCTTCCCAGCCAGTTGAGGCTGTTGCTGCTCGGGGCAATGGCTCTGTGCTCTGCCCTCATCTGGGGGGTCCCCCTCTCCTAGCACATTGCTGCCTCTCCCACGCCCCCTCCCAGCCAGCCCCACTGTGGGATCAGGGCCTGGACGGACTCTGTGTCCTCCACGCACCTTCTGAGGTCAGGGGGAAGCCGATGCCAAACATCTGCTGTTGCTCTGGGTGGAGGGCGGGGCTTGAGCCCTGCAGGGCCTCTGGGTGCGTCCCCAGGCTCCCACGGACTCCACCACCCAGGTGGGACCCTGGCGCCGAGGCCGAGGGCCGGGTGGGGACTGGGGGCAGGCTGCTGCTGCCCCGGGACAACAGCATTCCAGAGCAGTGCTTCTAGAAATTTCTGGAAACGTCTTCCTAGAAAGTTCCCCTTCGTGCTTTCCAGACGAGCTTTGCTCCTTCCTGGAACAACGCAGAGTCTGGGAACCACCGAGTTGTCCGGTGTGACCTGCTGCGACCTCCTAGGCAGACGCGGGGCAGGGGGAGCTGGGGCCACGCAGACGGGGAGCTGCCGTCCCTCTGTCCTAGCTGCCGCCTGTGCTGGCTTCCCCGACAGTTCTCCTTCACCGCGACTGCTTTGTGCGCGTACACGTGCTCCTTCACTCTCACCCCTCACGGAGGGACGATCGGCGCCGTGCGCAGTGCGCAGTGATCGCTCCTAAGGGAAGCCGATGTTTCCCTGGGTCTGGAGAGCAGAGCACTCGCCATAACTGGGAGGGAACTGTAAGGAGAAAGTCAGCGGACACGAAACAGCATAATTAGATTCTCACTAGTTCGTGGCCTGTTATTCTCTCTGGGAGGCGGGGCCGGTGGTAAAGGCTCTGGGCCCAGACTCTGGAGCAGAGGAAGCAAAGGGGTGGAGGGAAAGGCCATGGCCACTCTGGGCCGGGGAGCAAGCTCGGATCGCCCTGGGCCGGGGGTGCAAGCTCGGATCGCCCTGGGCCGGGGGTGCAAGCTCGGATCGCCCTGGGCCGGGGAGCAAGCTCGGATCGCCCTGGGCCGGGGGTGCAAGCTCGGATCGCCCTGGGCCGGGGGTGCAAGCTCGGATCGCCCTGGGCCGGGGGTGCAAGCTCGGATCGCCCTGGGCCGGGGGTGCAAGCTCGGATCGCCCTGGGCCGGGGGTGCAAGCTCAGATCTCTTTGGGCCGGGGTGCAAGCTCGGATCGCCCTGGGCCGGGGGTGCAAGCTCGGATCGCCCTGGGCCGGGGGGAGCAAGCTCGGATCGCCCTGGGCCGGGGGGGCAAGCTCGGATCTCTTTGGGCCGGGGGTGCAAGCTCGGGCCACCCTGGGCCGGGGGGGCAAGCTCGGATCGCCCTGGGCCGGGGGAGCAAGCTCGGATCTCTTTGGGCCGGGGGGGCAAGCTCAGATCGCCCTGGGCCGGGGGTGCAAGCTCGGATCGCCCTGGGCCGGGGGGGCAAGCTCGGATCGCCCTGGGCCGGGGGTGCAAGCTCGGATCGCCCTGGGCCGGGGGGGCAAGCTCGGATCGCCCTGGGCCGGGGGAGCAAGCTCGGATCTCTTTGGGCCGGGGGGGCAAGCTCAGATCGCCCTGGGCCGGGGGTGCAAGCTCGGATCGCCCTGGGCCGGGGGGGCAAGCTCGGATCGCCCTGGGCCGGGGGTGCAAGCTCGGATCGCCCTGGGCCGGGGGGGCAAGCTCAGATCGCCCTGGGCCGGGGGGGCAAGCTCAGATCGCCCTGGGCCGGGGGGGCAAGCTCGGATCGCCCTGGGCCGGGGGTGCAAGCTCGGATCGCCCTGGGCCGGGGGGGCAAGCTCGGGCCGCCCTGGGCCGGGGGTGCAAGCTCGGGCCACCCTGGGCCGGGGGGGCAAGCTCGAAAGAAACAACGGCACAGGCCACCTAGTCAGAGGAACACTGTGCAGGGGGCACCTGCCTGCTCTCCCCCCAAACCTATCCACCACGCACCCCTCAGCCCTTGCTGGGACAGTCCCAGCCCAGTGTGACATGCATCCCAGTCACTAGGGTTTCTTAGTGTCCAAGCCCACCCTGCGTCATCGTCACCGCCAGCAGAATAGGGCCCGAGGGCCACCAGGTTCAGCCCATGCCTGTTTTGGTCGATCAAGTTTTATTGGCACACAGCCGTGTCCACATTTGCATAGGCCTCTGGCCTCCTTAGCACCACAACCACAACCTGGAGTAGTTGCCACAGACCACCTAAGCCCTAAAAGCGCAAATACGTATGATCTGCCCCTTTTAAGCTGCTGAGCTCGTTTAGATCCACAAGCCCGACACAGACATGGTCAGCCTCGCTGAGGGGACACAGAATCTGAGCGGCTGTCATCCGTGGTCCAGCAGCCCGGCTACGTACCGCCCCGGTGCCCCCCTGCGCGGGCCGTGGCCTGGAGACCGTGGCTGTAGGTCTGAACCTCCACGTCCCTGGCTCAGTCCCTGTGAGGGACAGAAGTAGGCTGAACCCAGGTCCTGTGCACTTCCTTGGGACCCACTGAGCCACGAGGGCCACGAGGGCCACGAGGGCCACGAGGGAGGGTGTCGCCGGAAGAAGGCACCTAGGACTGAATGGAAGGGGGACTAGGGGGCTTCTGTCGAGACCACAGGCTCCGAGGGGAAGGCCCCAGCCCCAGAGCGGGCTCACTAAGATCGTCCAGGGGAGCTGAGGCCCGCAGTGGGGCTGCGGGGGGTGGGAGCCCACCCAGGGGGAGGGGCTCACGCTCAGGTTCTCACTGCTCTGCCCCCCTCTCTCCCACCCGACAGCTGTGAGGTGCGCCCCGGGCCCGAGTTCCTCACTCGCTCCTACGCCTTCTTCCCCAGCCGCCTCTTCCGAGCCCACCAGTTCTACTACAGGGACCCCCTCTGCCAGGAGCCCGCCCACTCCCTGGTCATCAAGGGCAAGGTTCGCCTGCGCCGGGCCTCCTGGGTCACCCGGGGCGCCACGGAGGCCGACTACCACCTGCACAAGGTGGGCATCGTCTTCCACAGCCGCCACGCCCTGCTCGACATCGCCGGGCGCCTCAACCAGACCCAGGCTGGCCGCGACTGTGCCCAGCAGCTGCCCCCGGCCCGGGCCTGGGCGTCCGGGGCGCTGTATGAGCTGCTGAGCGCAAGGGCCGAGCGGGACTGCGCAGCGGCCCTGGGCTTCACCATGCACGAGCTCAGCCTGGTCCGCATGCAGCGCCATCTGCAGCCGCAGCCCCGGGCCGGGCCCCGGCTGGTGGAGGAGCTGTACCTGGGGGACATCCACACCGACCGGGCAGAGAGGCGGCACTACCGGCCCACTGGCTACCAGCGCCCGCTGCAGAGCGCCCTGGTGAGTGAGGGGGCCCTGGGAGAGTGAGCTCTGAGCCCCGGCCCAGCAGGCCCTACCTGATCTGCTCCCTGCCCAGGGCCTTCTCTGCTTCCCCACCCTGGTCTGCTGGCCACAGGACGTTTGCACATGCTGTTCCTTCTGCTTGAGTCATCTTTTCTTGGGTCTTTCCAGAGCTGGCTTTTCCCAGAAGGAGCCACTATTCAGCATTCCCACATCTGATCCTCCTGACACACTCATGGGCCTCTAGGGGTCCCTTTCTGCCCCTGCTGGGCATGTGGACCTGGGCAGGTTGTGCCCCCCACAATCCACACTCAGCAGCCCAGGACTGTTTGTTTCCTTGTTGATTGCCTTCCTGTCCCTCTAGGACTAGACCCTCCACCAGGGCGACCCGCCCCTCTGTGTCCCCACACCTAGCCCAAGGTCTGCACACAGTCAGGGCCAGTAGATGCTGGTGACTGACCAGGGAGGGGCAGCTTCCTCCGGGGCCCTACTGGCGGCCACGCAGCCCTCAGAAGCCCCCGTCCCAAAGCTCCGGGTGAGGCACACATCTCTCGGCTGGCCTAGCGTCAGAGGCAGGGAGCACCCCTTCACAGCAAGGCCGGGGAGCAGCGCCGCCCAGGCCTCAGGAAGCCACCACCTGGGCATCCTGGGAGAACGAAGAGTTCGATTCGGCGGGTCTGGGATTGGGCATTTCTGATGGGCTCCCAGATGGTCCACAGACCACCCTCTGGGCGGGAGGCTACAGTATAAAGAAAGGGAGCCGCCCTCTCTCTGAGATGCCCCTGTGGGCTCCAGAGTGAGTATCAGAGAAGCCGATTCACCTGGACCTTAGATGAAGCCACCAGAACCTCCCTGTCCTGATTTGAGGCAGATCCAGTAGCCCCTTCCTGCCGATGAGCACACGGGCCGAGAGATACTGAATTCCATTAGTGCCATGTGCCCGACACATGGCAGAGAGCTGGCCAGCAGGGGGTGGAGGCTCGGAACCTCCCAAGCGGCTGGTAAAGACTGAGGACCCCTCTGCAGAAAAGTGTTTCTGGCCCTGGCCAGTTTGGTTCAGCGGTTAGAGCGTCGGCCTGCGGTCCCGAGAGACCCGGGTTCGGTTCCCGCTAAGGGCACGTACCTCGGTTGCAGTTTGTCCCCGGCCCTGGTTGGTCGTGTGGGTGGCAGCCACTCGATGTGTCCCTTTCATGTCGATGTTTCTCTCTTCCTCTCTCTCCCTCCCACTCTATCTGAACAAAAAATGGAAAAATGTCCTCAGGTGAGGATTAAAAAAAAAAAAGAAAGAAAAGTGTTTCTGAAAGCATAACATAAAATACACTGGAGTTCAATGGAAACCAATGCTATTGAAACAGTAACCCCAGTCTTAGAGCACATGACACAGGAATACTACGCCCGTGGATTCTTTATTCTCCCTTCAGTTCAAAGCCGCGGTGAGTGTAAATAGTTTCCAGCGCCTGCAACACTGTTAAAATGAGGCAGGCAACCAAGTCAGAGGGCCTGCAAGCTACAGGGCTTGTTGTCTTCATTCTCAGCGAGAGGAAAAGTTTACGTTTCTCCCTCAGAGCAGCCATTTCCAACATTTTCATCTCTGGGCACATGAACTAACTACTGAACTTATGCCACACACCGAAAAATATATTTTTTGCTGATCTGAGAAAAAGAAAGGTATACTTTTGATTCATTCACACTGGATGGCTATCGTTGCATCGGCTGCTGTCATTGTTGCATTTGAAGGGGTGAGCGCCGGTGTTAAGATCCCTGTGGCGGGCGCACCAGGGCGCCGGGGTGCACGGCTGAAAATCGCTGAGTTGGAGGTTAGTGAAAAGAAGTCAAGGTTCGGGCTCCAGGTGGAGAGTGTCTGTACTTAGCACCCCAGAAATATTCTCCGGAAATGAGAATGAATGGATGGATGGAGATATGGATGAGGTCAGGAGTCCCTGTCCGGTGCTCTTTGAACCCTGGGGCGACGGTCACATCATCCGCATGGACTGAGTGCCTTCTGCGGACTAGACACTCAAGGAACTAAACCAGATCAGGCAACTTCTCACCACTGGGAGCAGACTTATCAAAGCACCCCAAGGTGGGGGGCTGGGGGTGAGCCCACCCCTCTCCCCCAAGGCAGGATCTGGGGAGCAGAGACAAGGCACCAGACATTCTCATAATCAGAAAATCCGCCCGAGTTCCTTTGTGACCTCAGAAGTCTTCCCTTTCTTCAGGGGAAGGTGCTGGCGGGGGGTCAGGACTGGGGCCACCACCTCGTTAGGAGGAACAATTCTGAACAGAGAGAGGACAGACACGCCCAGGCCAGGCTCTGGGCAGTGGCCTCCTGCCCCTCTGCCACCTGACCAGCCGGCGTGGCCAATGGCACCTGCGGTGTGACTGAGAAGCAGAACACAGGACGTTCCCAGAGACGAGCGGTGTCAGGTGTATGGACACTACATTAAATGTCTCCTCTCCGGGGCGGGGAGGGAAGGAAGACCATTTCAAAGACTGAAACGCAGTACATGTAACCTCAGGTAACAAATCAGGTGTTACTTATGCACTCTGGGGCCCGAGCCACACCCGTGACCCAAACCAGATGGGAAACATGAACATTTTTAGAAGTTAATTTAAAACCTATTTGATCCCCAGCTTCATGGCCTGGATATAGAATCCTACTCAATCAGCCAGCACTCAACCAAAATCATGTAAGCCCAGGGGGCAGAATCATGTGTCACCTGGGGGTTGATGGCAGACGGCATGTGCCGTTTGAGAACTTTATGTGACAGGCCCGAGCCAGGAAGAGTTGGGCTGAGACCTTGTTTACGAACACACGCAACCCTGGACCTCTGCGGTGACGCGGGAGACTCTTGATAGAGACGGGCGGCCCCTTCCTTCTCCCCCTTCGAAGGCATCAAAGAAGGACGCACCTTTTCTCCCCCTTCCCTGACCTTGCAAGCTTGCTGAGGTCTTCCACTCTGCAGAAAAACGCCCGCCCCGAGTTAGCAGCCGGCACGCAGGGTCCCCGTTCCGGGGAGAAGGGCAGTCCTCGGACTGCTGCTGTAATGCACTGTCCTCGAGCACTCCGTGAAGCGGTGGGGACGTGGGGTGAAGTGCCGAAGCTAGAGCAAGCTCTCTGCTGCCAGGGCCTCTTCCCATCACACACATCTCTGCCACCGCTCCCGTGTATTCCAGAGTGCCCTAAAGTACTCGAGGTCAGCACCCCCGTCAAAACCAGTTACTCCTCTGCATTATGGAAATCGAGGCAAGTCTAGGTTCACTGAAGACATAAATAACAAGCTTATAATGTGGCCATCGGAAGAAGAAAACATACACGTTCTCCATCAACCAGTGTTCTTTCTGAACCGCAGCTCCCAACCACACCTGTTGGGCGGGAAAGTCACCAGGAGCAGTCTGCAGAAATCTTTTGTTTTCGCAAGAAAAACAAATCTAGGAGCTGATTTCCCAGCTGGGTCCCCAAGAAGCCCTCTCCCTGGCCCACCTGCAGAAACAGATGTGTGCCCGTCCTCGGGCTGGCCTTGCTCTGACCGGTGGCCGTGCCAAGGACATGCACCTTTCTGAAGGGTGCTCTGGACGCAACTCTGGGCAGCCGCTTTCTTCAGAAGCACCGCCAAGAGGACGCCTGTATCGGGTTCCTTTTTGGCCCCTGCGGAGCTTTTTCACCCCAAAATGCAGACTGCCCCCACGCAATTGGTTTCGCATCCGGTTCCCGCTGATGTGTTTTACTGGAAACCCAGCTCGTGAGACTTTGTAAGGCAACAAGTGTCAATGAGGCAAACGAGAGGACACATCACAGCCCAGGCCACGGAGGGCTGTGGCTGCGCCTGACACCTCAGAGGTGGCCGGTTGTCCCCACGGTAAATGACACCGCAGTGGACATCTCTGAGTCCGTGTCTTTGCAAGGTTCCAGCCTTCGCCTTGGCACAGGCTCCGCGATGGAGCTCCGCGGGCGGGAGGGCGGGCGGGAGCATTCTCATCCTTGGTACCCATTCACTTTCCAGGGATGTGCAAGGAAGGGTGCTCACCTTTCAAGGTGAGGTTTCTGGAGATACACAGTTTCTCTTCTCCACCTGGCAGTGGAGACACAGACTCCCGTGAGGAGCATGAGGCTTTCTGCACAGAGGGGGGTACGGTCTGACAGGCTGGGGCTCAGCTCGTCTCTGCCCTGTCGTTGGCTGGCCGCCTGGCCCACTGGGTTTCAGCTTCTGCCGCTCTGTGTGACATGTGCATGAGATGCACCTTGCATGGTTCCTGGCCCTGAGATAAGACCTAAAAGCATGAGGGGTACAGAGTCTAATGGGCAAGGACACAGTACTAAACCTTAATGGCTGAATTTTAGGACCAAACGGCTGGGTGTGGGAAAGGACTTCGGTCAAATGCATAAGGTAGCTGCATTCCATTCCTCATCCATCCATCCACCCACCCACCGACCCACCCATCCATCCATCCATCCATTTATCCACCCAACCATCCATCCATCCATCCATCCATCCATCCATCCATCCATCCATCCATCCATCCATCCATCCATCCATCCATCCATCCATCCATCCATCCATCCATCCATCCATCCATCCAATCATCCACCCAACCATCCACCCATCCACCTAACCATCCATCCACCAAACCATCCATCCATCCACCCATCCATCCATCCACCCACCCATCCACCCATCCACCCATCCACCCACCCACCCATCTATCCATCCATCCATCCATCCATCCATCCATCCATCCATCCATCCATCCATCCATCCATCCACCCACCCACCCATCCATCCATCCATCCACCCAACCATCCATCCATCCAATCATCCACCCAACCATCCACCCATCCATCCATCCATCCATCCACCTAACCATCCATCCACCAAACCATCCATCCATCCACCCATCCATCCATCCATCCATCCACCATCCATCCATCCATCCATCCATCCATCCATCCATCCATCCAATCATCCATCCATCCAATCATCCATCCACCCAACCATCCATCCATCCATCCATCCATCCATCCATCCATCCATCCAATCATACATCCATCCAATCATCCACCCAACCATCCATCCACCCATCCACCATTCATCCATCCATCCATCCATCCATCCATCCATCCATCCACCCACCCAACCATCCATCCATCCATCCATCCATCCATCCATCCACCCACCCATCCATCCACCCACCCATCCATCCACCCAACCATCCATCCATCCATCCATCCATCCACCCACCCATCCACCCATCCATCCATCCAATCATCCACCCAACCATCCATCCATCCATCCATCCATTCATCCATCCATCCATCCACCCATCCATCCATCCATCCACTGACCCATCCGTCCATCCATCCATCCAATCATCCTCCATACACCCATCCATCCATCCATCCATCCATCCATCCATCCATCCATCCACCCAACCATCCATCCATCCATCCATCCATCCATCCATCCATCCATCCATCCAATCATCCATCCATCCAATCATCCACCCAACCATCCATCCACCCATCCACCCATCCATCCATCCACCCATCTACCCACCCACCCATCCATCCATCCATCCATCCACTGATCCATCCATCCATCCATCCATCCATCCATCTATCCAATCATCCTCCATACACCCACCCATCCATCCATCCACTCCTTCCTCACTCAGCAAGTTTGTTCCTGTGGTGAACCAGGCACTCTGCCAGGCCCTGGGGACACAGTAGCCAGAGAGACAGTCCCAGCTTTCTGGCCCCTACGATCTCCTGAAGGGGAGGGCAGAAAGAAGGTGAGCTGGGGAACAACTGGTCTCTGAGCATTGGGAAGGCCCTGCAGATGATGAGGCATGGGGTGGTCAGGAAAGGCCTCCCTAAGGCCGCTCTGTGAGCTGAGTCCCAGAGGACGAGCAGGAGCCAGCCAGGCGACGTTCCGGGGGATCCCAGGCAGAAGGGAAGCAGGTGCAAAGGCCCAGAGAAGGGGGGAGCTCACTGAGGTCCAAGAAGAGCAAAGCAGGGAGTGAAGAGTGACGGGGACCACTGGGCACGCCCCCACGACACCCCTCCCAGGGGCACCCTGACTCCTCCACTTGGGACAACTCTGCCTCCTGTTTGTCTTTTTCAGCACCACGCTCACCCCTGCCCGGCCTGCGGCCTCATCGCCCGCTCTGACGAGCACCATCCGCCTGTACTCCCCGCCCAGGTGGCGCTGCCCCTGCACCTGGGTGGCCAGTGGGTCAGCCCCGGGTGCGAGGTGCGCCCCGCCGTGCTCTTCCTCACCAGGCACTTCACCTTCCACGGGCACAGCCGCTCCTGGGAGGGATACTACCACCACTTCTCAGACCCCGCCTGCCGGCAGCCCACCTTCACCGTCTACGCAGCCGGCCGCTACACCAGGGGCACGCCGTCCTCCAAGGTCCTTGGGGGCACCGAGCTGGTGTTCCAGGTCACTGAGGCTCGAGTGACGCCCATGGACCAGGTCACCACGGCCATGCTCAACTTCTCCGAGCCGAGCAGCTGCGGAGGCCCGGGGGCCTGGTCCCTGGGGGCCGAGCGGGATGTCACGGCCACCAACGGGTGCCTGCCTCTGGGCATCAGGCTCCCCCACGTGGAGTACGAGCTTTTCAAGATGGAGCGAGACCCCCTGGGGCAGAGCCTGCTCTTCATCGGACAGCGGCCGACGGATGGGTCCAGTCCAGACACCCCCGAGAAGCGGCCCACGTCTTACCAAGCGCCCCTGGTGCTCTGTGCCAGGGCAGCCCGGGGCCTCTCCAGTGAGGGGCGCTGTCCTCGAGTGGCCCTTCTCCCCTCCGGGCTCCTAGTTCTCGGGCTGGCCGTCCTCCAGAGGCTATGAAGCCGGGGCACCGCCGACTGGGACTCCAGCCCGGCTCAGGCTCCACCACCCGTCTGTGGGGAAGGCCAGCTTCCCCGTCTGCCCCAGACAGCTGGCGGCTCTGCTGCGGTCAGCTCAGCCTGTGCCCTCCCGAGCTCCCCAGCACCCGCAGAGTTCATGCCAAGGCCCGTCATCGGTGAGCCTGGGCGCCGTGGTGATGTCAGTGGCTTTGAGTTTTGAATGCTCACTCCCAATTCTCGTGGGCAGTTCAAGGGCCGGCACCAGGGCCTGGACCACAGAGGCAGCCCCTGCCCCCTGCACCTTGGGACTGTGCAGGGGGGTGGGGTTCTGCACGGGGATGCCTCCGCTGGTCTGCCCATGCGCGGTGGGGTGTTTAAAGGACGTTAATTCGAAGTTAGCAGCACACACTCACTCCAGGGCCATGAATTAAAGATGCCGCTCGGGGCTGTGTTCTCAGCTCTCTGGCACAGGGCTCATCTGCAGCGGAAACACAGCTGCCCTGAGCTCTGACCGCGGGCACCTGGGCGCACCTGCCTGGGCTTCCACGAGACAGGCCTCGAGCTGCCCACGCTGCGTGTGGGTGACCAGCCCACCGCATGCCAGGCGCTGGGCAAGTCTCAGGAGCAAAGCGGTGACCCCGCCTGCGGAAAGCAGTGAACACTAAGGACGGCGGGAATCCCAACGCGCCCGGAATGAGCCCGCACAGGTGTCCTCTGTTTTCAAGATTCCCCGTGCCTTACTGCCAAGGAGGGAGGAAAACACCCCGGATGTTTTTGGGGAACCCCTAGAGAGAGGTTGGGGTCACCGGGCGGTGTGGAGATGTGCTGGGGTCCTCCTCTGCTCAGAGGGGGCTGTCACCAAGGCGGGGGCAGGCTGTGCCTCTCCGGGGTCCCTGCCTGTGTTCCCCGAGCCGCGGCCGTACTTTGTGGGAACCGGTGCCCAGAAGGCGCCCCCGCCTCCGCCCGATTCCTCTCTCTGGCTCCTGTCACGGATCTCGAACAACAATGTCTGGGAGGCTGACGGCGCTTTCAGGAGGAAACTCTTGTCCTTTGCTAGACTGTGCGGGGTTCAATCAGCCGTGGAAATTGCTCTGACTGACCCACCCACCCTTCTTTTAGAAAATCCTCACCACGTTAATATTGTCTGTGGGTCTCAGAGAGCAGCGAGTGCTCAGGGTATTTACGAAAGCACAAGAAGTAATTATTCGCGGTCTCAGACTGCGTCGAGCGGAGGGGGGTCCCTGGCGGGGAGGGAGGTGGGTGGCAATCATGCATCCATGGCTGAGTGAGTCTGTCTGCGGCTTGAGGCAACCATGCCACCATTTATCATCAAATTTGAATCTTTTAATAAAATTAAACAGCCTGAAAAACGTTCTTGCCAGTTATTAAAGTCAACCGAGGGGATTATGATTCTAAGGAGAGGAAGTGAAGTGTATTTCACAGACAGAAAATAAAACCAGTGGGGGTCAGCGCCGGCGCTCGGTGACGCACCTCGAGTCGGCGGCATGGACCCCAGCCCGCTCCGGGGCCTTCCTTGCGTCTTGCTCACAGATGTCTGCAGTCCCCCCAGGCCGCCCCGCCCAGGCTTCCCACTCTCCCTTGATCACAGCAAGCTGTTTCCTGCCTCAGGGCCTTTGCATGTCATTGGCTCTGCCTAACACCTCTTCCCCGATCCTGAGAAGCTTGGCTCTCTCTTTTCCTTCCAATGTCGCACCACATGCCACCCCTTCAGGTGACACCGCCATCAGCACCCCCAAAAGCAGCCTCCTCTCCCCCGTCGTCCATCCGTCCCATCCCTGTTTTGTTGGGTGAGTCTGAAGTGATTTCCTCGCAGACTCGATGGGAAGGGAAGGACTGTGTCGATCCCTGCGACCTTTCCCCGAGGTTCCAGCACTGCTCGGTGAACACGGCCGAGTGACGCCGGCTAATGCTCACACCGGCACCGGCCAGGCGTCCCTCACAGGTGGCCCAACAGCGTGGGTGAAGCGTGTGGCTGCTCCTTGCCCGTGAGGACGCTGAGTCAGGCCCAGCGGGGGCAAGGGGTGCGCCCCAGGTCACCAGCAGCTGAGCCCCTCTGGGGTGGCCGCTGGGGGCTCAGAGCCCCCGACGGGGTGGGATTCCGTGACTGTATTTGGGAAGAGCGCTGGTTGGATTCCGGGCTGGTGTGGGGGACGTGGCGTGAGCCACCTTAATGAGGAGGCTGTGTTGAGGACGAGGGAAGGTCCCTGGCCCAGCCCCTGGACTGAGGCCCCTCCCGCAGGGCCTCTGGCTCTGGAGCCGCCCAGGCGGACGGAACACATCAGGCTGGAGAAAGACCAGCGGCCGAGATCCTGGGGGCCCAGGGCCCTTCTTGGCTCCCTGCTGTGAGCCTGCCCCCCCTACACCCTGAGATGGCTTTAATCAGAGAGAGGAAAGTAAAACCCACAGTTCGTGTTCAAAACAAAACAGAATTAATGTTCTCCATTGTATGTGCAGTCACGTTTACAGGGGAAAAACCCGAGCACTTGATAATTTCACAGCGTAAGCTCCCAGGAGAGTAAATGAGCTTTTTTTTCTTTTTAATAAAATGTTTAAATTGTATACAGCTCTCAGAGGCCCATTAACTAACAGATGCTGGTTATCAAAAGAAGTTATTTCTTTGCTTTTTCTAAGCAAATGTGTTTAATCTCCCAGCGGCGCCCCTGGCCCGCGGAGCGGCTCACGGCGCGGGTGCCGTGGGCTCGGGGACTCAGACAGGACCAGGCTGCAGGGGAGGGGCGGCTTCTGCACAGCACAGCGAGGGCCACGGTAGGGCCACCTCACACCATCACTGCAGCCCAGGGGGAAGGGGCTGTGCCCACCTCCTGGGCTGAAGTTGGGCAAGGTGCCCCCTGTAGTCAGCTAGTGACTGTAAGGGCCAGGTCTGGTTTCCTCTCACACACATGGCCTCCGTCCAGGGGGACAGGTGATGTGTGAGGAGGGGAGTGGATTACCTGCCTTGATATTCCAGGAGTAACCTTCTAAGCTTCCAGACGCTCCTCCAACCCCCTTTCCACCTCCACCCTCCGCCCAGCCCGGGCATTTCCCTGCTGTCCGCAAACCACCTCCGGGACCCTCCCTGGCCTTAGCTGGGCTGTGCCCTCTGGGAAGGCCCTGCCGCCCCGCCCCTACCAGCCCCTTCCCCCCTGTTATTTTCGCCCCCACTGCCCTTTGTTCCTTTTCCTCATTCCTCATTGGCCTCTCTCCTCTAGAACGAGTCCCTGGCGGCGGCCATGGTCCCCGCCGTGCCCACAGTGTGTGCGAGGCGCACAGTAGGAGCTCAGTACACACTGGCCGAAGGAATAACGCTGGCTGGAGGCTCGAACTCAGGCATCAACGCTCCAAATACTGGCTTGGAATTCTGATGCTGCTTTTTGTTTTAAAGGGGCTGGAGAGCACCCGCGGGTCTCGAACCACCCTCGCAGCGAGTGGTCAGCAGGCTGGAAGCTCATGCGAAGGAACCGCTGAGCTGGAACCAGCCCCTGGAACACGAACTTGAGGATCCTGTGTCCTGCGGGCCAGGCTCTCTCGAAAGGGCCCCGTGGACAGCTCTGTCCTAGAACAGGAAGGTCCTGGCGCGGGGTCCCACAGGGGTCCATCTCAGGTTTCTGGGGGAGACAGGAGACCCCTGGCCTCGAGCAGACAGCTAAGACTTCCATTCTTCCCTCTGGCACCTCTGGCTTCAGTTTCCTCCCCAGAACAATGAGCTGAAACTCGGGATTTGGGGCGCCATCTGGCCCCCGCACCTGGAAGGACCATCGCTGGTTAAGAGATTTAAGGGGAATGGGTGCTATTCAGAGGAGGGCTTCACACAGCACCTCGCAGGGGGGCTGGGTCTTTCTCCAGGGACGTCGTATTTATTTCCCGGGAGTTCGTTAATAACCTACTACTCTTATTCCTCCATTTGGTAATTTTTAATCCCTCAGGAGCAAAGAAATTAACACAAAACTTGGAGGGGGTCATTATTTCTGTTAAGATCCTCCGTGTTGGTTGAATGAGACCCACGACATTCGCGGAACACCAGCGCGGGCCAGGTGCTGCCTGGGTGCCTGGGGAGGACGCGTCCAGACCTCCGGCTCAGGCGGTCGGTGGAACGTGTACTGTGACCTCTGCTTCCTTCTGAGGCCTCAATAAATTGCGAGCAAAGACTAAAGAGGCTCAAACCCCGTGGATAAACACAAACGGAGATGCAGCCAAGAGAGGCCAGCAGAACCCTGGCATCTGGAAAGTTTCTGGACAACACGGCCTGGACAGCAGGGCAGGAGGGCAGGAGCTGGCGCAGAGCAGAGCTGAGGCGGGGCCGCTCATTCCCCACGGTCAGGGATTGGTGTCCCGGGGCCCTGAAGGGTGGGGCAGCAGGGGGCTGAAACAGGAGAACTAGTTTCAAGTCCACGACAGAAGCTTTACCCCCAATCCTGTCTCTAACCCCTGTGAGAACCTGAACATTCCATCAGGGGTCTCTGGACTGGAGACTGTTCCAGGACAAGGGATCGAGCTGAAAGTGGAGGCAGTGAAGAGAACCCTGCACAGACTCCTTGAGAGGTGGTGGCCAAGGTTCCTCTGCAGAGAAACGAGCCCCAGGTAAACCACCTGCAGATACTGAAAGTCCCCAGGAGGTGTGTGAGGTCCCGGCCCAGTTAGCTTTCTAGAAACCCACCATTCATATCCCTCCTACACCTGTGCAGCTGCCCATCAGCTTGTTAGTGCTTCCCCCATAACTACACAAGGGCACTCAAGGTCACCATACGTCGGAAGAAAGCCTCCAAAATGACAGAGACACCAACCTGATCCAAAGCGACTAGTAGGTAGAGAATAATACAGGTGATAAAGCAACAGTAACTATACTATCATCAGTGAAAAGAATGACAACCTTTTAAAGACCACCACCATTTTTCAGTCCCTCTTACAGAACAAAGAACTACAATTTCCTCCGTGAAAAGAAAATATATGCCTGCCAAGAGCAGGTTGTTATAAACAAATAAT